TCCAAAGAAAACTTTTGCCAAATACTGCCAGTCACAAAAAAAGATAATTGAAGTATAGTGATAGCTAAGACTATGAAATATATGTTTTAGTAAGAATTTTTTGAAAATTGAAAAATATCTCTAAGTATTTAGTTGATGGAAATAAATTTTGCTTAATTTTTACTAGAATTGGAAAGTACACAATTAAAAAATTAAAAATTTTTAGACATTGGAAAACATAATAATCCGACTGGCAGTCATACTTTTATAAGTTTTTTCACTCAAGTTTGAAATAGTATTGAAAAAGTCTTTTACCCTACAAAATTCATTCAAAAGTTAAATCAATAGTTATATTCAAGAGATATTAAGTGTATGTGCCGGTTTGTGCAATGGTACACGATTGCAAATCACAAAATTTTTTCAGTATGTTTTTACAGTAGAAAAAATAACTAAATGAAAACTGTAAAATAAAGTTTCTATACCCGGAATTACTTCGATTAACTTATAACTCAAATACAGGTAATTAATCATCCTTTCCTTTCATATTGTAAAAAAAGCGGTTTCTTTTTGTTTTAGCAGTTGCTATGACAAATAATAAATCACAAGGACAAAGGTTTGACAACGTTGTTTTATACTTAGAAAAACTTTTATTCGCTCATGGACAACTTTATAAGGCCTCATTGCTGTTCAAAACTAAAAATGGTATATTATGTTGTTTATTAAACATGTAAATCTGCTCTCAGTTATTTCTATGATTTCTTGAGAATCAGTGCATAAGCTCACGATCAGTAAGAGCTAACCTAGGAGTGAGAATAAGAATGGTATATGTACAAAAATAAAGGTGATTACAAATGTGAAATGAAAAATACAGTGTGGAAAGACATTTTTTTTATGTAAATAAAAAAGTACGTATTATTGATGAATGTTCAATACTTACTTTTTTCAATTTTCGTTTTTTAGAAGTTGTAGAGCAAAGTTAACACTTCATGTTTACGTGATGTACCTTCAAAAAATATGTTATTTTCATTCCTCACCAACGCTCTGAAAATTAAAAAATTCGCATTTTTCAGATCTTTGGAAATTTTTTGCTCGAAATCTGTAGGGTTTAAGTATATACATCTCACTTTGTTTTTCGTTAAGAATGACTCAAAGAAACTGAATAAATTTTTTTTAGATCGAAAAAATCACTTTTACTGATTTGTTTAAAAAATATTAGTTTAAACAAATTGTGACGAGGTTGCGCGGTGGCAACACGAAGTTTCTCAATCTGTGGGATCTAATAAACAGATTTATGCGAAAAAATTCCTTTGCCATTGATCTAGCACGACGCCGCCAATTTTGCGGCGCAAACCTCCGCTCGCCCCTCGTCGCTCCTCAAAACTTTAAATGTTTTCTTGAGCCCCATACAGGCGATCATTTTATTTATATATATTTGCGTTAATTCTTGAAATTGACAGTGGTATTAATAGTTTTTCTTACTGTTTAATAATAACACATTCTACACAAAAGTATGTTTTATGATACTTTTGTATGAATGCTCATAATTCAAGTTAAATTTCTGCTGAAACATCATTGTCAATGTCTGTAATAGTGGATAATTTATTGTTAGGATGCAACGTAACACTAATGTGTGCCTAATAGGCCATTTTTTGTGAAATTGAATTGTGTAAACGTACGAAATAACTTTTCCAAAATCATTTTGCTTGCTTACATTATCTTATATGGATTTAAGTTTTGTATGACACAGTCTGAGAATAATATTCGGCATATCATTCAAATAGGTATCTTGAGGAAAACTTTTTAAAACTTTTTTTATTTCTTTCCATTTTGGTTTACATGTACCAGTAATTAATAAATCAGGTTTCCTGAACTTTAAAATCCCATGTAACACATTGCATCTTGGTTACGTTTTTGCATATACCTTGAACCACCAATGAATCTTGAAGGTTAAATAAAAATATTTTCTACTTGATCATTTTTAAAATTTATTAATTATTTAATTTAATACGCAATATAAGATCAACCAAACCTTGGCAATATTTAATCCTTAATAATTTTTGATTATTACAAAAAAAGTTTATCCTTCCGCATTCTACCATGATACACACGTACAAAAAAAATTGTTGCGTTAATCTTTCAGAATAAAGTATAGGACTGAAAATCTTACTGCTTATTCGATAAGAAGTTCTATACAAATATTATTTAAACAACGGTAGATTTTGTGCTTCTATATAATTTCTCTCCTATAGCAAGGGGCCCAGTCTACATCTCCTGATGAAAAAAATTAAGGAATGCCATTGTATCTAAATCCTGTGATAATTTGTTTGAATATCTAACTTAGTAATTTCTAATTTCAAAATAATTATAGCCCTACTCTCCTGTTACCGGTTTTTTAAATTGATTATTTTCATTATTATGTTTTCTTCAAAAGTTAAATTTATAGTTTTAAAGACGTTCTGTATTTGTATTGTGATTAAAATTTTTGTTTTTCTTTGCACATGCATTTTGACTTATTATTTGTGTGGGTGTTTTAATAAGTTGCTTGGATAACATTGGGTTTGATTTTAAACGTTTTTCTACAGAATTGAAGTTATTATCTTATATATAATTGACTGTAAGAATGTTTATCTAAATTGTTTACAATAGATGTATGTGTCATATGACAAACTTGACCTTGACTTTTTAAATTGTTAAGAGCTTTTTTTTCTCTTACGAGATGTGCACTAAATGATGCAACGGAGAGAAAATTATTGCAATATTTATTTCACCAGAATAGGTTGTTTTTGTAAGTTTTTATTTTTTGTGTATAGCAATTTTATTCGTACTTGTTTCATTTGTCGACAAATTTTTTGACTGAACAACTATTTTTTGATCTTATTTTACTATTTATGACACAACAAATTGTCGGTTTTTATGAAAGATTGTCACGTTGATATAATATTGCAACTTTTTTTAAAATTATGATATTGTTTTCATAATTTTCCTTGGTTTTTATAAATCATTATGACAGCTGTCTTGTCAGCTGCCTAAACTTTCAATGTGAAACTCATTAAGCCATGATAATGCTTTGAATACTAATTTTTACTAATTAATATTAAATACTAATACTAATTAATGTAATATTTACGCTTCTATAATAGTACGACTACAATAATCAATAGAACGAAAAAAAACGGCTTACGTAATTAAAATAATTTCATGTTACATAAATATTAAGTATTAGAAAAATCTGAAGTTTTTTTTGCACATAAATTTTTTCTATTGTACGTTGCGCATTATTTAGTTTTAATAAACAAACAAAGATCATATCTATTTTTTCATGGTAAATAGAACTACGAACGAGGTTCACGGTATAAATATTTTATAAGATTATTAGTATTTTTTGTTTCTTGAAAGTATCATGTCAGGTTCTTATACATATTTAACAATACAACCAATAACCTTATAAGGAACTTAAGATTTAAAAAAACCAGCACACTAGACACTATCTTAAGGGTTGTGTGGAAATAAGTTTACAAATTATAGAGATAAAATAATTACTAAGGAAGTGGTACAAAGAAGCTAAAAAGGGCTAAAACAAATAATATAGAACAGTTGCTTAGAAAATGTGTTAAAATTGTGAGGAGAATTCCGTGAAAAATGAAAGGAAAGCTGAGAGGGGAGTGCAAAAAGTAATTAAACTAGGAATAACGTGATAACCGATATAATTTACCTCATTCAGAGATGCAGCTGAAGGGTGGATGAAAGAAGTTCTCTTAAATTGTAAAGAGAGCTTGTCAGGTTATCCACTTATTGTGTTTTTTAATTATGAGGGAGGCTGAGGGGGTGGAAGGGGGGGGGGGGGGGTAAACAAAAATTTAAGTCAATAAAAGTAAGGTAATAACCGATAGTATTTTATCTTATTAAGAGTGGAGCTGATGGGGGATAACAATGGCTGGTCGAGCTGGGTGGCTGACGTGGATGGAAGGGGGACTAAACAATTAATTTCACCCGATAAAGGTAAGGTGAAAACCGATAGAAATTTACGTTATTTAGAGTGGGGCTAAGGGAAGTACAACAGGGAATTTGTGTAACTACCCTCCAAAATCACTAAATAATACAGAAAGATATTTATTACTAAAATTGCAGAGCGATTATTACTTATTTTATACATTTTTCAGAATTTTCATGTAAAGTTTCAGGCAACAGTTTTTTATTGCATGAAAATAAAATAAAAATTAGCTAAAAAAATGTGTATGTTACTTAAAAAATAACTAATAATATGCATGCAATACAATGTTAAGTTGTGCGATTTTGTAGGGCTATGCTGAAAGTCATGTGAAACAATGTTTTTACAGAAAGTTTTATGAATCTTCACGAAATGTTATCATTTTATCACAAAAGTGCATGCTTGACAGGATTAGTACTTTTCTTTAAGTTGAGACGGATTAATTGTTTTCTTAGAACCTTTTCATAGTGTTATTTTTTCTAAAAAATTTGTTATTTAATACTCTTCTTGAAGCATTTTTGTATTATTACTGTTTTTTTAAAGCATTACTGAATAGTTACCTTATTTCTCCCAACGTACTATATCAAAAGAGTTGTTTAGAAAAGTACCAGACCTACTTAGTGGTAAGAAATAAAAATCACCATTAGTCTAAATTAAAACTGTAAACAAATTGGATTTTTGGTCGTTTGCGGCATAGAGGAAAGCTGTAAGAAGAAGAATACATGTTTTATTTTGATTATGTACCAGCATTCTAAAAAAAATCATTACTAAATAAATAGCCAGAGCACTTTCTCTCTTTATCAAGTGACGTTCCTCTATTATTTTTTTCAATTCTTTTAAAAATACTCATTTAGTCAAGTCGTAAAAACATATGTATGGTTAGAAAATTTTTACAGATTACTGATGTAAACAATGCAAACATGAGTTTCATAGTTTAAAAAATTATTATTTTCACAATAAGTTTGACTAGATACTTTACGTTTTCTGCGGCATAGGGAAGGCTCACAAAAGTTTTGCAAGGACCAGACGGATAAAAATTTTTTATTGATAATATAAATATTTAGAGAAAAGTACATTTGGCTTAATCAATAATACACATCTATGACAGCTTAAGTTTAAATACAATCGTGTTAGGAGTCGTAATATCTGCAACAATTATTTCAGAATTTTCATGTAAACCTAAGTCTGACAGCTTCTTTGATAAATTTAAGCGTGTTTTTTCTTCAATACTAGGAATATTCGGAATGTACAATGTTTTCATTTTACCAAAAATATTTGCTGTAACTCCAGGGTTTTTTAATTGCAAACCACTTTCAAAACATAATTTTTTTATTAAATCTTTTAGTTTTATGTTTATATTTTCAATTTTTATTTCCCTCGAGCTTTGGCTGCAGGCTACACATTGATGATTTCTTTCCGCTTCGTATGTATAAGTATAAATCCCATCTGCGTCTGTAAAAGCCTTCAATAAAACTATAAGAACAATATTTACTTGAGTAAGTTAGCATGTTTTATTAAAACTTTTTTTTTTGTCAAGATTACAGTACTAATAGAAATAAATTAAGCACTTAAACACATAATTTATAAATTAAAATTTAATTTTGGTTGATTAATTGCGTATACTTTAACGTACTCAACATTATAACTATTTTTTTCATGCTTTTCATTCAACAGTTTAAAATTACATTAACCGTTACATTTACAACATTTTTTTCATTTCGTTTCAATAGAATTCTTACAAAGTAAACAATTATGCATATGAATATAAGTTAATTTGACCTTATACAATATTCAAACGATAAATAAATACAAGAAGGGTTAACTTTAACATAAACTTAACAATTCATAACGTTTGTTTATAGAGAATATAATGTGGAAGAACAGAACTAATGGTATAGATAGTTTACAACTCTACTTTATATTAAGAATTACGGCTTTAGTGTTTAGTGCAACTAATAATATGTAGAATGATAAGAAAATATACAAAGTTTATAAAATTCAACAGCCTAAGCTACCTTGTGTTACTACGTATCACGATTCGTTCAAAATCCCTTTTTTATCCGAACTTTGAAAACTCAAGTGATTTTTAAAACTTCATCAACATTTTTTCTTATGTTACAAAAAATACATTGAACTTGAGTTGGGCTCGTCCACCAATAATTTAAAAATATGAAAACTGTTAAAGTGATACTTAATTTTTGTTTTGTAATATTTTTTGACCTTGTAATGTTGTAAGAAAAATTTTTAAATGACGTGAGTTTGTAAATGCTGTATTCTCAATTTTTGAAGAAGAAGAAGAAATCCTGATGCAAGAATACATAAATTTTCAAAACTGGATGTATTATGTACTTGATTATACAACAGCTTTGTATCCAATTATTTCTAGGCTAATCATACTTGAGAAATTAATGCAAGGTAATTCCTGCATCAGCACTTTTTTTAAAAGAAAAGTTGAGAATATAGCATTCATCAACACTAGTCATTTGACTTATCATATCATATGACTTGGTGAGCCACTGCTTACTGCATAAGTGTAGATTATTCTATCTTATTTTGTTACGGCCTTAGCTTTCATATTATAAGCACTTATAAATGAAACGTTTTATTTAATTTTATTATCACTGACTCCACTTTCTTAAACCCGTTTTCTCACTTTTAGTTAGACATAAGGAAAAGAAGTACGTCCAAGCATAAAATAAATAAAGAAAAACTTGAGCGCTTAAGCACGCAGTTATACATCTCTAGCAGTCGATATAAAAATGCAAATATATACTTTTAATGATACAATTTCGATACAACTTTAAACTACTCACTGCGATGTTTATATCGAAGTGGTGTGGTTATCTGTCGAATGAGGGTATTCGATAATTGGGCGTGTTTTAAAAAATATTAAAATATTCAATAAATAAATAATTATAGAGAATTAGAATGCGGATAAGGAAAGTACNTAATTAGATAAGTACTTCATTTTTTCAGTTGCTTTTTTGAAATAGAAAATAAAAACATCTTTGTAAAGTAGTTTAAGAATCAAGACAAAAGTATTGTATAGTGTACTTTTTTTTTTCTTACGGTCATTTCGGAAAAATGTTTAAAAGAAAAAGTGAAAGCTTGAGTGAAAATGCAAAAAAAAAGGATACATTATTTGCGTCAATACACTTTTTGAATTCGTGCTTGAACATTGGTGATAAATCTGCGATCATAATTTTATATTTAGTTAGTATTCAGTAATACAACAAAATAGTTCCATTACATGTTTATTTATACTTCAGATCTATTGTCAGCTTTATTAATCAAATTTTTGAAAAATGGACCTACAAGAATAAAGCTAAAAACAGTGATTTATCGTAAATAACAATGATGGATGTAAAGTTCAGTGTAATGCTTACAAGAAGTCTTTAAGGATAAACGAAAAATTGATAAAAATGAAGTGAATATTTAGACACTTATAGAAAAACTTCTACTGAAAAATACTTGTGAAGTTTTAAAATAATAAATTTAACTGAATAAATAATCAACTCATACATTAAATCAAATATTAAGAAGTAAATAAATTAGTAGACAGAAAATGAATTTTTTTAATGGAAAAGAAAATTCCAACTATCATATGAGAAGAGTTAGATATTAAACTTAGCCCATGGCTGAGTGAATGCAGTGTTCAGCTTACGTACACGAGGTCACCATTTGTGTCCTATGAAAAGTGTTCTATTTTTTAAAGAAGATTTATTTCGAGAATAAATATTGAAAATAAAATTTATTGACACACACACACACATATATACACACACACACACATACATAGAGAAACTTTAATAGAAATGTTTATATGCCACTTACAAGAACTAACTGCAAAACAGCTCTGAAAAAAAATTAAAACTTTTGACCGCTAGAGGGCGAGTGGTTATGTTTTCAATGTTACGGTACACATTGACTGAGCCACTTCCACAATCAATTCTATCGAGTTACTTTAATGAGTAAAAGTTCGTAGTAGGCTTCAATAACGTGTGACACGCACATCAGCAGATAGACAATGTTGAGTGATAACACGTCTTATGAAATTTTAATTATTTCTGAGCGTATATGGTATAGAAAAAACCTTTAATTTTAATGATATCTAAAGAAAAGCCGCAAAAACCGTTGTAACTGCTAACCATGAAAACTACTTAACCAATCTTGCTGAAATTTGGCATACTGATTCTTGACACTTCCTGGATGGTTTTACTTAAGTTTTTATCTTGAAAAAATCAATATCAATAAATAAGCTCAAAGTTTTGCATAAATATACTAGCTTTAGTATACTAGAAGTAAAATCGAAGCGATCTGCGATAAAATTAGGTAAGTCTGGTTATAATATCCCCGAGAAAATTAATGAATATCATAGTCGTTCCCCGACAGTGCATGAAGCATAAAGCTGGAAGTCGTACAGCTAGGTATCCCAGCTGTCGACGACACTGTTCTCTAATGGACAAGCGACTTAAGGGGGCTCCTACGACTACTGCTGAGGTCAAAGACAAACAAAAAATAAAGTTTTGTTTTTCAATAAACAAATGTGTCTGAAAATCGTTATGATATTTTTAATAACGTATGAAGTGGGAAAAATGATATTTATGTCTGTAGTTTAACTTTATACGAAAAATTAATTATTGTTTTGACCAGAGGGTACACCATCAGACCAGACCACCTGTGTTGGTGTAGTATAGCGATGTGATATATAGGTATATAGGTATATGGTATATATATGTCGTTAACAAGTACGTCTGCTACCCACGTGACCTCCTGACCTCCCGAACACTATTTTTTTATTTCCATCACAAATATCTCGCTAAAATGGTCCTTCACCCACTATTTTTAATACAGCATATTACAGAGGAATACTTCATCTACAAAACGTATGTATTCAGTCTGCTGGGACATTTAATTTAGGTTTATTATAAACGAAAACAAATTGTTTTTCATGCTGCCCCATAGGAACACATGCTAATAGTTACAACTTTGAGCTCGGATTTCTCAAAATTTTGACCCATTCGAAATATAATTTAGACCACCATTAAATTCAGTAGACTTTTATTTACAAGAAATAATACATCTCCGTTTGGGGACTTTCGTGAAGGAGCCCCCTTAAATCGAACACTATCGCAAACTACCAGGATTAACGAATGCCATCAATAAATAGGCTTTCCGATACGATAACGTCTCTGGCGTAATACCAGGAGACGTGTAGCCAGAGTACAATCTGCTCTAGCAATTTAGAGTTTTATGGCTATTCTTTCAATCGACCTGGTGCCACCAGAGCAGATTTTGGTACAACAAAAAGCTAGGGAAAACCACCCTCGAAGAGTTTGGGAATCTACAACGGCCTTTTTCTTAGTGATTCGTTCCAACGACGTACCCACACAGAAGGTATTCTCCAGGCCCACTTTTCCGACTAACGATTAGTGGTTGGTTTATCGGGTAACGACCCGAAAACGAAATATATTCTTTGGCCAGCAGCGTACGTCCCTCCAGCGTGGTCTTCGTACCCAGAGACCCCGAGGGTAAGAGTCAAACTACCCACAACCGGCTCTTTACCATCAAGAATTTGTATAAGAAATGGCTGGAAACATCACCATTGGCCCTACGAAGTTCACGGGTTGTTTGATTCAGTGAGTCTCGGGCGAAGACGGGGGGCCACTGGTAAATATATATATATATATACGGCCTTAGCTTTCATATTATAAGCACTTATAAATGAAACGTTTTATTTAATTTTATTATCACTGACTCCACTTTCTTAAACCCGTTTTCTCACTTTTAGTTAGACATAAGGAAAAGAAGTACGTCCAAGCATAAAATAAATAAAGAAAAACTTGAGCGCTTAAGCACGCAGTTATACATCTCTAGCAGTCGATATAAAAATGCAAATATATACTTTTAATGATACAATTTCGATACAACTTTAAACTACTCACTGCGATGTTTATATCGAAGTGGTGTGGTTATCTGTCGAATGAGGGTATTCGATAATTGGGCGTGTTTTAAAAAATATTAAAATATTCAATAAATAAATAATTATAGAGAATTAGAATGCGGATAAGGAAAGTACAGTGCATTGTAATGCCACGATGTGCAGCCAGGCTGGCTTGTAAAAAAATGCCCAAATTCGTTGAATTCTCCAATTATTTTAATACTACTTCCTATACACGGATAACATCTCTAACGTCACGCTTGCGCCTAACGCATACGCTCACACACTTACCATTAGTCACGTAATTAACATCGAAAAAAAACTTAGAAAAACATCCTCTACTACAGCTTTATCTTGACGGTGTAGTATTACGTGGCAGTGAATGTAGCTTAACTAAAAAAGTCACTTTATTCATGGATACAAAAATTTCGAAAAACTAAAACGTAATAAAAATTAAATTATACATCCATAGAAGCTTATATGAATAAACTAATGAGAAAGAAAAAATAAAAA